CTGTCCCACCTGAGTCTGGGGGCTGCCGGTTGCGCTCGATCTTGCGGATGTCATCGAGGGTCACCCCGTCCTCGCTGAAGAGCCCCCCGTGCATGATCTGGGGGAGGGGACACGCCGTGGGGACATTGGGGACGGCAGGGGGACAGCAAGGGCCACCCTGACCCCGAGGGGACAGGGATGGGGTCAGGGGGTCAAATCCCCCGTTTGGAGGGGGCTGCCAAAAAGGGATCTATCCAAATCAATGGGGCGACCAGATAGTGAGCCACAAGGGATGCCAAATTGGGATCTATTAAAATCAACGGGGCTGCCAGATAGTGAGCCAGAACGGCTGCAAAATTGGGATCCATCAAAATCAACGGGCTGCCAGATGGAGAGCCAAAATTCTGCCAAATTGGGATCCATAACTGCGAATGACAGTTGCCAGATAGTGAGCCACAAGAGCTGCCAAATTGGAATCTATTAAAATCAACGGGGCTGCCAGATTGTGAGCTCAGATACCAAATTTGGATCTCTTAAAATCAAGGGGGCTGCCAGATAGTGAGTCACAGTGTCTGCCAAATTGGGAGCCATTAAATCAACGGGGCATGACAGCTGCCAGATAGTGAGCCACATTGGCTGCCAAATTAGGAGCAATTAGAGTCAACGGGGCTGCCAGACACTGAGCTGAGGGATTGCCAAATAAAGAACCAACACAGGAAATGACAGATGTGAGATAGTGAGCCACAACACTCTGCCAAATTGGGAGCCATTCCTGCAAATGACAGCTGCAAAACAGTGATCTACAAGGGCTTGACAAATATGGATCCATCACAGCCAATGGGTGCTGCCAGATAGTGAGCCCGGGTGACAATGTCCCCTCGGTGTCCCCTCACCAGCACTTTGCCGTTGATGCACTGGGCCAGGGGCAGCCACTCGAAGACCTCGCTGAAGAGCGCGAACATCTGCGCCGTGTACTTGGCCTTCACCTCGCCCTCGAAGCCGTAAATCTGGTTCATGTTGTCCGTCTCGTGGTTCCCTGAGGGGACACGGGGACAACTGCCACCCCTGGGGACACCGCCTGGAGTTGGGGACACCGCCCGGGGTTGGGGACATGGCCCCCAGAGTCCACATCCCCAGGGATATGGGATGGGGGACATGGGACAGGGAATGGCCCCAGGAGGGACAGGGGACAAGGGTTGGGGACAGGGGATGTGGCCCTGTGACACAGGACAGGGTCCTGCACCCCGCAGGGGACAAGGGATGTGTCCCACAGCGGGACAGAGGGGACACAATGCCGTGATGTGGCACCATGAGCTGGTCCTGGGGTTGGGGACAGGGAGGGCACCAAGGGACAGGGATGGCACCAACCCCAATGGGACAGGGATGTCCCCAACCTCAAAGGGACAGGGATGGCACCAGTCCCAAAATGACAGAGATGGCACCAGTCCCAAAATGACAGAGATGGCACCAACCCCAAGGGGACAAGGACACCCCCAAGGGACAGAAATGTCCCCAACCACAAAGGGACAAGGACAGAACAGTCACAAAAACTCCCAATTTACAACATCTGCCAAAAAGTGACCCATTGTGTACAACGGGCGCTGCCAAATAGTGAGCCATTCGGACAACTGGGGACAATTGGGGACAACAGGGGACATCTGTAGGGACACAACCCCCCCAGAGCCAGCCAGGGGGGGCTCAGGTCTCGCCCCCCAGGCCCTGGTAGTACCTCGGAGCAGCAGCAAAATGACAGGGATGGCACCAACCCCAAGGGACAGGGACGTACCCAATCTCAATGGGACAGGGATGGCACCAACCTCAAGGGGACAGGAACATCTCCAAGGGACAGAAATGTCCCCAACCCGAAGGGGACAAGGACAGGACAGCGACAAAAACTCCCAATTTACAAGGACTGCCAAAACGTGATCTACATATTATAAGAAGTGCTGCCAAATAGTGATCCATTCGTGACAACTGGGGACATCACACCCCCCAGAGCCAGCCAGGGGGGCCCAGGCCTCACCCCCCAGGCCCTGGCAGTACCTCGGAGCAGCAGCAAAATGACAGGAATGTCCCCAACCCCAAGGGGACAGGGACAGGACACTGACAAAACCACCCAATTTTACAAGATCTGCCAAAAAGTGATCTATAGCATACAACGGGCGCTGCCAAATAGTGATCCATTAGGGACAATTGGGGACAACTGGGGACATCAGTGGGGACACGATCCCCCCAGAGCCAGCCAGGGGGGGCCCAGGCCTCGCCCCCCAGGCCCTGGCAGTACCTCGGAGCAGGTGGAAGTGGTCAGGGTAGAGCAGCTTGAATCCAAAGAGCGTCAGGATGACCTCGACCGAGAAGGAGCCGCGGTCCACGAAGTCGCCGTTAAAAATCTGTCACCAGCTGAGGACAATGCCACCTCCCACGGGTGTCCCCAGTGTCCCCACCACCCTGTGCCACCCCCATGGGGACCCTCAGGCTGTGGATACATAAGGGTTGGCCTCGGAGGGGAGCCCGTTGAGCTCGAAGATGTTGAGCAGGTCGTAGAACTGCCCGTGGGTGTCACCGCACACTGTCACCTTCTCTGTCTGCCAGGGGACACCAATGTCACCGTGCTGGCACCTGGGGACACCCCCGGGGACACCCCCACGGGCAGCAGAACCCACCTCCTTCAACG